GTAGAATGAAATTTAAATGGATGAGTGAAAAATCAATTGGCCCTTGTACCATCTGAAGCCCGCTAGGCTGGCAAGTAGCATAAAATTATCTGGCTAATTGCAGCAGCAATGCCACAGTTGTAAATCTTTTAATACTGACATGTCAGTGATCAATGACTACAATATATTCAATTTTTTAAAAAGATCCCCAGTTTATGAACGTGGGATATATTGTGCTTCTCTATCCAAAATGCCAGGAAATGGTCTGATATTGCTGCATAATATTGTGCCCATGTTGCCAGCAGGAAAAAGGATGCCAAACTTTATATAGCAAAGGGCAGCCTGAATGTTGACAACACCAACAGCAGCAGTCAAGATGGCCTCTTCTGCTTACTGCTTTTCACAAAGTGACACCACACAAGGAAAAATCCTGTAAGCTGACTCCTTTTTTCATCAGTCAACCATGATTTTAAATCATGGATACAATTGACACAGAGGCTTAACAATACTTACTAAGATCAGCAAAATCCAGACATTAGCTGGATACATGCATTTACATTTTCAGTTCTATGCTCATGTATTAGGAATGGGAGTTTCAAGTTGTAACAAAACAAAACAAAAAACTTCCTTTTTTCTTTTTTGTTCTTTCATTGATTTCCAGAATATAGCATCTTAAATATGAAGGATTTATTTTATGTTTCCTTCTTTCTTTTAATGTTTCTTTCATGCTTCATTTATCAAATCACCTAGAAAAATTCTTATTCAATAGCATTACAAGGGCTGCTGTCAGCAGCCAACCAGAACATCTAGGATGCAGGGAATGAGGATTTTTAAATAGGACAAGGGTACTGGATTGGTTGGAAACCCCATAAGGGGAATTATTTACTCTTTCTTTTCTCCAGTCAGTCCTTGTGCATGTGAGAGAGATCCCTGCGCAAGATAGAAAATAGAGCATTTCTGTTGGGAAGTTTGTGGCCGTCCTATTAGAATGGAGAGGATTAGTGGAAATGTGGGGAGCTTAGTGGATTGCAGGGCTTCTCAAAGGTAGGTGAAGTGAGAAGTCAACAACAAGTGGGTCGGGCACTGGAATCAGGGAGATGATGAGGAGAGACATGAGCAAAGAGAAGGGAGGAAAATATGAAAGTGAATTAGAGGCAGCAGGCACAGAAATTGCTGAGGGAGATGAGGAGCAAGGAAGCACCACCAGATAAATACTTCCTCTTCTAGAAATTTCTGGATTCAGCCAATAGCAAGGGAGGAAGAAAAAGTGGTTGAGACAAAAAGTGAGATAAGACTGGATTATGAATAGCAAACGTGGATTGAAATGTCACCTCTCTCTCTCTCTCTTTCATATAAGTCTGAAAAATCTTACACGTGTTTTAAGTTCCATTTTTCCAGATGATTTCTCCCCAAGCCTCCCTCTTTTGCACTGTTTTACTTCTAGGCAAAAAACAAACAAACAAACAAAAACATTAGATATATAATTTGTTTGGGGTTTTCTTTAGGGATGTTTTAAGTTCCATTTTTCCAGATAATTTCTCCCCAAGCCTCCCTCTTTTGCACCGTTTTACTTCTAGGCAAAACAAACAAACAAACAAACAAACAAAACCTTAGCTATATAATTTGTTTGGGGTTTTCTTTAGGGTCTCCCCTTATCTTAATTCAACAACAGAGTGTCTTCCTTCTGTTAAAGGTGTTTATGTTGATATGTGTTTCGGAATTGTTTTGTTTGCTTCCTTGTTAGCATGTGATAAGTGGGGTGTGTGGGTGACCTTTGTAACTGCAGAATGGGAAAAAAGCAAAATGAAATTATTCAAAAGGGGAGGATGCACAAATATCACAAAAATATAAAAGCACTTCTGAAAGAAGCCAAAAGGAAACAAAAGGAAAAGTTGTTGTTATGCGCATCCTTCTCATGATATTAATTGACTCTTGGTGACTGACACATCTCAAATTTTCTTTTGAACAGATGCGACATAACTGCATCCCAACTGAAATACACAAATAATATTTCCTTTATAAGGTGACATTGTGATGCTCTCAGTGTGTTTCACAGCTGAAGTGTCTCATTCCATAAACCTTAATTCAATGGACCATAATTGATTTGTTTTCTCAGCCTAAGGCAAGGCATTTGTGATTATGTTATTTAAGGTATGTCAGGGGTAACTCATGCACTTTATGGTTGTTTAACACATGGTGATATATATATAAATCATGGACTGAATATCGAACTATAACTTGGGTCAGTTATAACTAGCTTGCCATTTTTAATGTAGATGGTGAAACTGGTTTTTTTTTCCAGGTAGGAATAATCAGAAGGAGAGTGGACTGATCTATTTTGTTCCACATCTGCAGTGCATTAGGCATGAATGCTTTTCTGAGTGTCTTTGCTGACCAAATTCTAAACATGGATGGCATAGTTAAGGAGTGTTCTTTGTTAAGCTTAAAAGTCAGCAAGAAGTCCATGGAAAGAAGCACCCAATAATTTACATGGGTTTCAGTGCTTCATCAGTCAATGCAGCAATCTGGAGCTATAGTCAAAAAGAAAATAAAACACAAAACCAAAGTACAGTAGGCAATGGAGTGCTGGTATGGACTTTTTCCATGACTCACATCGTAGGCAAAATACTAAATGGTGATTCAGCTAAATGGAAAGGTGTTGGGCGTAAAGCGGGTCAAGGAAAAGGGCCCAAAAGATGTCTAAAAACATGTCTTTTTTTCCCTCACGGTGAGAGTGGATGCACCTGCAGAATGGCTTGCTAACTGGACTACTTTATGGTATCCACACATGATTTTACTTCAGTTTTTACTTAAAGTGACCTTTTTCAGAGCTGTCCCATTCCTTTTTGGCATAATAGCAGAGCTAGAGGTTTTTTGGCATGATTTTAGAGCATTCCAAATTAGTCAATTCTGTAGCATATCCAGATGGTTACTCCACGCCAAGGTAGAGCTGTGGGCAATGTTATCACAGGTGACAACCCTATGACATCTTTGGTGGATTGTGGCATTGAAAGGGACAATGAAGAACCCTCGTCCTCTATTTTCATCAACTCTATTGTTTTAAATATTTTAATATACATTTTCCTATTGATTCAGTGCTATTCGAGAGAAATAAGGTACATTGGCAGCATTATGTTTACCATGCTAGGTAAATGCATTACTGTTTCACTATGTCACTTACTTTAACAAAAAAAAAGCGGGAAAGTCACTGCAACCCTCTGAATTGATGGCTGTGGGAAAAGGCAGGCAAGGAGGCAGGAAGGGGGGGTGCCGTTAATCAAACAGGCAGCAAATTGGGGCTATCCAATTTATCTGAACACTTCCCACAGGAGAAAAAACATTGATCAATGTGAATGAAAGGATTGCTCAAGTGAGAGATAAAACAGATTGCATTAAAGATAATAACTTTTTAAGCACGATTCATACCTCTCCAACGTCCCCCTTCTGGACATGCCCTTAGTCAGCTGTTGTGTCTCAGGTGTGGGAAACCATTAGTTGCCCAGATTTTTTGGTCAACTCACAAAAGATACAGTGGGGTCTTGACTTAAGAACTTAATCCATAATGGAAGGCAGTTCTCAGGTAGAAAAGTTCTTAAGTCGAATCTGCATTTCCCATAGAAATGCATTGAAAACCATTTAATCCATATCTGCTCTTTTCGTCCATAGAAACTAATGGGAAGCTGCTATTCCGCCTTCTGCCACTAGAGGGGGATATTTTTTTCTTTTTTCCTTTTAACCTAAGATGACTTAGCTTTAAAAAAAGGGGGGGGGGAAAGAGTTCGTAACTCGAATCTAAGTTCGTAAGTCGAGTCCATATATTCCTATGAGAACGGTTCGTAAGTCGAAACGTTCGTATGTCGAGCCGTTCGTAAGTCGAGACCCCACTGTACAGCTAGAATGGCCAATGGTGAGAAAGCAAAGAAGTTATGGCCCTTAACATCTGGAGAACCAAATGCTCCTGGCTCCTGTTGTCATAAAAATATAGAGCAACACTGTCCAGTATTGATTAAATGACTGAAAAGTGATTATTAGGGAAGCATTCTTCCAGACATCAATATAACACAGTAGTTCATTTCAGATTATTTTTTAAAAAAAGTAATTACTTTCCTCCTCTGCCAAAGCACAGCTGCATGATAACGAGATACCAGCTGTTTAGCCCCCAAGGGTCAGCTACTCAGCTTTTTTCTTTTTTAAAGCAGCTCACTAAGAAACACAAAGTATGAAATACCATGGCTGAAATCCTGTTGCTTAGCATAGTTAGCCACATCTAGAGTAGGCCAACTGAATCAACTGAACTTAAGGAGGAGTGGCCTCACCAAATCCCTATGATTCAATGCATGGGCTTTAGTTGTGACAAACTACACTAAGCAACAGGATTTCAGCCATTTTGCTAAGAATGGGTACAAAAGAAAGCAGAACCTCTCAGCATGGATAGTGATATAAAACTCATTTTAAGATCCATTAGGTATCCCTTTTAGTCTGTGGGGAAAAAGAGAGAAAGGACACAATTTGAAAATATAGAATGTAGACTGTATTTAAAGAAACTTGCCAGGAAAAAAGCATGAGATATGAGATTGTATTCATATGTATTCACTCTACCATAAAGACCTTTTTTTTTCCAGCCAGCACTGTAGAACATTAACTGCACTTTTGGTACAGGCACTAACTTTAGTCATTAGCCAGTTTAAAGAGACAGTTTTATATTTCAGCAAAGGATTAGTTCGTTCCAGCCCCATCAAATATAGTCTTTGTCACCCTTAGATTTAATTGAACTTATTTTTAAATGGCTATCTCCTACTTATAATATGGAGATTAGCATTCTCAAAGGTGATGATGGGACAAGCTGTACAAGTATGAAGAAGCGCCCTATCAAATATTTAAATAAGCTGGGGAAGAGATAGGGAGGCTTTTGTAGTGTGTGCAGCTGAATCCTTTCTGTTCTCTTCTTTTGCCAGGAAGATATGAGTGGCTGGAGTGTTTGCTTCTATAAATAACTATTTTATGTCAGCTAGATGCCAGTCTTTTTTGAAGAGGGTCAGTCCCCAGTTTGTCTCAGTACTAGGCATCATGCAGACCCAAGACCAAGCATAGAAACCACCACCCAGGACTGGACAGGTCACCCCCACTCATAACAAACTCCATAAACTTCACCCAAAGCACCAGGATCACTATTCTCCAGAACAATAAGGTAAGTCTATTGTTTCCTGAAATAATCTGACATTAAGTGTCCTATCAGCTTGCAACTTGTAAGCCTGCAACAATAAATAAGTGATCTATGATAGCTATCCATAGCAAAAAGTTCAGATGAATTCTCCATTGGCATTGCCACCTATTTAACAGATGCTGCTTCAAAATGCGACTTGTTCCTTGAGCATTCAGCAGCTTTTTAAAAGAAATAGCAAGCATTTTTGCATTTTAAATACTGGGGATAGAAAACTAACTTCAAAGTCAATTGTGAATGGATATATGCATATATTTGCAGAATCTGATACTGCAGTGAGCCCTGCCCATACCTTAACAAAGATGTGCATGCACATTATAAAGCACAGAGGCCCGACACTCCGTATCACATAGTTTATTTAAGGTAATCCAGAAGGTCTTGCTCATTTGAGATTTCATATGCAGTGTTAATACAACATACCTCCATCACAAGAAACCATTGCCAGGATCAGAATTTAACCATTCAATATTTGTAGATAAGAATAAAATGCAAATCCTGAACCAGTGCTTCTCTTTCGACTGCAAGCTATCGGGTGGAACTCAACAACATTAAATGTGACTTTTCCTCCATCTTTAGTACGAAAATCCCAGCAGATGACGACAATGCTGTCACATGCTGACATGGTCAAGGAGAGGAAGAAGCAAGCATCCGCCATCGTGAAGGAAATCCATAGAAATGGTATAAAGTCAAATCCTGGCTACAGCTGTATGTCTAGTGTCACTCTCTAACCTTTCTTTTTAATCTTTGAGCATTAACTCTCTTACAGCTTTGCCTCTGGGTATGCTGCCATAAATAATCTCATAGGGCTATCATGCTGCCTATGGTAACTAATCCTTTTGTAGTTGCATCTTTTCATTTGAAAGCTATTTTCAGATGAACAACTGTTGTGGAGGAATGAAGTAATCTAACAGCTGATGCACATTCTGCTTGGGATTGACTTTCGGAATATTTTTTGGGGAGGGGGCTAATATGTCTGGATGCCATATTACAGAACTATCCAGATAGAGAAGGTGTGCATCTCTTTGCTTTTAAAACTGTATTTCAGAATACAATCAATCAAGGATATTTGCAACAGACAACTGAGTTTTGGTCTCCACCTCCGCCTACTCAAAGCTGACACTGGTTTTATCCAACCATTCAAGGCATAATTCTAAACTAATCTCTCTTGAGAAACATTTTGCAACAGAGCTTCCAATGTGCTACCCTTTTGCCTCTAGTCTCCTTGCTCTTGGCTGGCTGTACCCATGTCATATCGCCATTCCCTGTTTAAGCATTTCTGAATCTGCTCCTTAGCTATGCTTCAGAGGAATGCTCTGAGATAATATTGTGCTCAGATTCAGAGCAACTTTCAGATATAGCACGGTGTCATCTTCCGATGCACTGTCACAACATTCTTATAATTACTCTGAATGAGCCATTCCAGAACCTTTTCTGTACAATGTTTTCCTTTCACTAAATTTCAGAGTCCAGAATATGTAACATGGAAGCAACTATGAGCAAGTGTGCCAAACTACTACCTTTGCTCATCCATGCTTTACCTGTGGGAACTGACTCCTCCCATCAACCTAACCCTCTATGAAGCAATCGTAATATGGGGCCATACATCACAATCCATTCAGATCGTAGCAAAACTACTTGGAAATCTGTGCAAAAACACACCTGCTCTTGAAAAATAAGCCATGAATTTATTCTGCAGTGCATTCTGATTCTGTGGGATTTCCGACTGCTTGGGTGTGAAGCAGCCAATTTTATATTCTTGTCTTCACAAACAGGACTACTTGTTTAAAACTTTGGGACACTGTTTAAAAATCTTATTGAAATATCATAAAATGCCAGCTTGGTAGGTCTAATTCTGTACATCTTCTACAAGAAAACATAATTCTTAGGGTACCAAAATGGCCCATCTGCCTGGATGTGTCTTGAGTGCCTAACTAAATGTGATGTGGCAGACCTGTGATCAGATTAGAAATGTAAAAATACCTGAGAAGGTGTGTGTGTTTCCCCAGATGCACAAGTTCATATATTATAACATTTAAATCCCTTTTTTTTTCAATATGCTTGCATTACTTAAAGTAGATTGATACACATTTGATAAGATATTCCCATTGCATCATTGAAAAATGTAATGCTTCTTTCATATTGGATTGCCAGTGAAAATTTTTTAATCTGGCAAATTGTGGCTGATCAATTTTGTGGCTGATCAGTGGGTCAAAGCAATTAGGGCACTGAGTGGCTTATTGTGACCTCAATATAATCATGTGCATCCAGTCATGCTAATTATTTTAATTATTAAATACTGAGTTGGAAATGGGTCACTAGTGCTGAGAGCACTAATTAAACCTTCTTATTATCCCATAATTTCAGTTTTTAGAATGGGTATAACTACAATAGAAGAATGTACCCTCATTAATCCATCCTTTTCTAAAATTACTGTTGCTCCTTGCTGCTCTCATATTCTATAAGATATATCACCCTAGATCCAAATACTTTCTTTCCCTAATGTAAGGAATATTTTCCTAATGGATTGCGTCTATCAGGAATAATGGAATATTTGCATCCAACCTATGATTTTGAAATGAAAAGCAGAACAGGTTTGTTCAAATACATAGCTCACCACACTTGTGATGGTCAGATTTAAAATGAATCATAGGGTAATCACAAATATTTGATCATATAACCATAATTTGATGATGATGGTGATGATTTTGTGCCTTCAAGTCAATTCTGACTTATGGTGACCCTTTTCAGGATCTTCTAGATAGAGAATACACAGAAGTGGTTTTCCATTCCCTTCTTCTGGGGGCCTCCTGGGACTGTGCAGCTCACCCTAGGCCACATAGGCTGACTATTTTCACTGGAGACACAGTGGGGAACCAAACTCCCTACCTACCTATGGCTCCGTAGCCAGAAATCTTACTCACTGAACTATCCAGCCAGCTATGAGCTATTTTAATTCAGTTTGATTTTTAATTCAATGTGGATTTTGAGGTGAATTCCAGTGGTTAGTCTCCTACAGTGTAGACTAACAGAATGTTGAGTCAGAACTTCTATACATCCCATGATTCAATGGCTCTACTCTTATTGGGACTAACAGTTGAGCTAAGTTCTCACTTTCAATCAAATAATTCCATGAACAAAGCCCGTCCTTTCAAAAGCATTTCACTGTCACTGTGCCTATGTTCATGTATTTTACCAAGGAACCAGGCAGAATATAATAGCCTTTAATAGGCCTGGAAGGTTATGCCGCAACATTACCAAGTGTCTGTCGGCTGGTTTCCACGTACTGCTAAGGAGCTTGTTCCCTAGCTACTTGTTCATTTTGATTCAAACAGTAACTTGTAGAGATAGCATTCAATTAGACAGGGGATGCCATAAATGCTGAAAGATGTGTAATTGTCACAGCAAAATTGTTCATACATTCCCACACTTTGCAGATTAGCTTGCTTCATTTTGTGATTGGTCATTTAGAGGCAAACATTTCCCAGTATGTTTTCTCAAACAAAAGGATTTAAAGTCTCTGGAGCATTAATGTACTGTTTCATTAAATTAAAGTGGTGACTACATAATCTACAATGACTGCTACAGAATATAAATGTATACAGTTTCTATGAATAAGCACATGTACATAAGTTCTTAGCCTTCTTTATGCCCAGGTAACTCATAATTGTAAGTCTTTCCTTAAAATATGCATGTAAGATTCTAATCTTAAGCACATTCTTAGAAAATGCTATTGAACTTGCCAGATTTATTTAGGATTAGGCTAGAAATTTGAGTAAAATGGCTATCTCCCTGGAAAAATTATTGATACTATAGGAAATAATATGAATATTCCAAATAGTCCTGAAATATATGGGAGTCAAGACAATGACAAAAATGGTGAAAATTATTTTTGTTGTAAATAATTTGTATTGGTAGGATCAAAAGGATAGCTTGCATGAAGCAAACAGTGTATCTATCTAAAGAATATCTATCCAAGGAATGTATTTTATTTTTACGTTTTTATGTGGTTTTCATTTCTTTCCCCTACTTTTTGGATGGTAAAAACTAAGTTACATATATTTAAGTACCTGGCATACATAGGTGGCATATGGTGCAGCAGTTTGCAGAACTCTTAAATATAGGATATAAGTCAGACCTTAATATCAGATCGATACTGGTTCCTGCTGCATAACATCTCATGATGTTCTTAAAAGTATGGCCAGCCTTCAAGAGTGGCTTTTGGCAGACTTAAGAGGGAAAGAGGAGGAAGATCACAGTTCAATGAGCAGGGTCATTCTGAATATAACCCATTGCTTTGTTTTCTTTATTAAAAAGTTGATTATAGATATTTTTTAAAAAACCAGATACACATTTTTGGAAACTGAGGTCTACAAGTAACAATGGATGTGCACAATGATAATTTTGTGGGGTACCTCTTTTGTTTCTATTTTTTATATATATACAGTATATTGCTCATTTCAATTTATGCTAAAGGGAAAACCTTTTTCTAGTTTTCGTGTTGGGTTTCCTATTCATGTTTCCTGGTAGTCCAAAAGACAGACAGACTCCAAAAGACAGACAGACAGACAGACAGACAGACAGACAGACAGACAGAAAGAAAGAAAGAAAGAAAGAAAGAAAGAAAGAAAGAAAGAAAGAAAGAAAGGGATATACTGTAGGATGGAGGCACAGACAAGCAGGTAGCCAGCAAAAGCAAACCAAGAGCTCAGCACACATTCTCTGTGTGTGAATGGAATGAATGCTTCAGTCATTCCTTTTCTTCAGGACTGACTGAAGCAAAGAGTACTCCGTCCTCTCACTGGATTCCAGGACCTTCTGAAGATTCAAAATTCCCCACGCCACCAAAACATTCCGGTTGGTTGCTGACAGCCCCCATTGGTCATACCACCATGTCTTTGCAATAGACCGCACAACACTTTTGATTAAGAAATGTAAAATCCAAATTGATATCCATAGGGTGAAAGAAAGGTCTCATGAGAGAGGGAACAGAAAACCCCCATGAAAGAAGGTACACAAAACTTTTGGTGTGTCCTTCTTTTGTTAATGTGAAGTATTCGTTTCTTAGATGCTCTCTCTTGGGAATCAACAAAAACAACATGGAAACGAAAAAAAGAGCCTCTTTCTTGTTTTTTGTTGTTTTTTTAATTTGTCTTTTGTAAAAAGATGACAATTTCATCACTACAAGCAACCTGCATTGAATTTCACCCTGGACTAGTTAGAAGTACAACCTGCAGCAAAACATTTTCATATAAGCTGTTTCCATTCATGATCCTGGTTCCTTTGTTCCACTCCTCTGATTTTTAATTCCATTCCCCACTTCTGAAGTCAACCATACATAGCCATGGAAATCAAACTAGACTATACTTTTCTAACATTCTTTGCCAAAATACTTCACTGTCAGTGAAAGATGCATCTATTATAGCATATTCTTTCTTTACCTATATGTCTTTCATTTAATGTGCCTTGTTTTGTGATTTGTCATTAAATGGAAAAGATGGGCTTAATTTGCAAGAGTATGGGAAAAACAAGGTTTGTTGAGTGGTAGAGTCTACCAGATGGGTGGGATAAATAAATAAATAAATAAATAAATAAATAAATAAATAAATAAATAAATAAATAAATAAATAAATAAATAAATAAATAAATATGGCTATGCACTATATCCTACAACATCTGGATTCCTCAGGGTCTTATGCACGGGTTCTTTTTGTCGACTTCAGTTCCGCGTTTAATACAATTGTACCATCTAAATTGTATCTTAAA